GTGTGTGTGTGTGTGTGTGTGTGTGTGTGTGTGTGTGTGTGTGTGTGCGCACCGATGGCAGAGATCGCAGCCTGAGCCGTGTCAGTGTTGACGTCAGTGCAGTATCCCTTCAGCTCATCCAGCAGCATCACAACGTTCTCATCGTTAACCAGCTCGACCATCACCTGCAAACAGATTTATGTGCAAAAGTCTTCATCCACACGGAATTGATCTTAAAGTGGTCTCGATCAACAGCCCTCCAAGCTTTCTGAAAATCTTAAGTTTTGCTTTTAAACTTTGATTTTCTCTCATTTCTCAGTCGTCGTATCAGACTATCGTCAGAGGAATTTTTTTTTGTCAAATGATTTAATTCTGACCTCTGAATCCCTCGAACATAAAAAGGTTTTCTAAACTTAGTAAAGAACCAACTTTACGCTGGGTCTTTAGGTCAGAATCTCACCGGACTGGGACTGGTGAAAACTAGAAAGAAAGCAAGAAAATAAATTATCCTTCGCAGTTTCTCTAAATTCTCAGTCCAGTCCTGACGCTTTTTCTTACCTCCAATTGTCTTAACTTATTGAAAGACACTGAGATATAGCAAACATCTGGCTAACAGCTGTTTGGGAAGCTCTCCAAAATAATATTTCTTGTCCGTCAAACGGTTACCTTTGGTATTTTTTCATTGATTTAGCAAAAAAACTGGTAACAAATTGTCTTTGTAACAGGTTGCGGTAAACAAAGAGCCTAAAAATATAATTTAATTTTGTTTTTCCTATGAAATTGGAGTTGCGTGGCTCATCCCTTGAGTTCAGGAACCTTTTTATGCCCAAGTGACTCAAAGGTCGGAGTTCAGTGGCCAAATAAACAAACATTCGTCTAAAAATGTTCTGGGCAGGAAACGAGTGATGAAGCAGCCAAAAGCTCAAAGAAAAACTGTCCAAGTCTTTCAGAAAGTCTGAAAAAGTTTTGTCTATTTGGAAGAAGAAGATAAAGACACGAGGAGCGCATTAAGACTTTTAAACAAAAGTTGAAATGAAACAGACAGAATGGCGAACATCCTCCACCTGCATCTTCCTCTGCTTGATGAAGGCCGGCTCAGCGTAGCCACAGAAGAAACGTTTGTAGTGCTCCCCCAACAGGCCAGGGGCCGACCGCAGCAGCAACTGCAACCACAAAAACCTTTTCATCAAACTGTGGTTATGAGCTCAGCAGAAGAGTAAAAAAGCATCAGAACACCCCTCAAATCGTTCCAGATCTTTGGAAAGCTGCTACTGATTGAGTGTCGCTGCTCGCGAGTAAAATTTAAAGTAACGAGGACTGAATAAGGTTTTGTGTACCTGAATGTGGCAGAGGGCCGTAAACCTCATCTCCCTGGAGCTGCTCCCGCAGGCGGCCAGCAGGGGGCCACGTGCTCGGTCCAGAGCTGCCAGACTGACAGCAGGAAGGTCAGAGCTGAGGCTCAGGAAGAGGCTGAGGGTAGCAGCCATGACCGGGGGGTGGGGGCTGACCAGGGAGGTGTCCAGCAGGGACAGGATGTCGAAGAGCTCATCCTCTGACTGCGGCCGGTAGCGCTGAAGAACCCTCAGAACCTCACACTGACCCCAAACATCGCACTCCTTCAACCTGACGGCGAACACAGATTCAGGGTTCAAAACACGGGAAGTTATAAAGAACCCTAAAGACGAACTGAAACACTTGAAGCTCAAAGCGTCAGCGTGGTTCAGAGTCGAGCTACATTTGGTTCAGACTGATGTTCTCAGACTGTCAGGGTCTGGTGTCCATTTACTTTATATCTTAGATCCTTATTTACTGTTTATTCTTATGCTTTATATTTTTGATATTTTTCGGAGTAACTGAGACCTTGAGTACACAATTTCATTCCACCTCATGTACCACATATGATGCGAATGACAATCAACTTAACTTGAACTTGGTAACCCTAAAAGGTCCAGTCAAAGGCGACTAGACTTCTGTTACTGAAGAGTCTTAGCTTCTCATTTCTCAGTTCAAACTGAAAAAAGAAAAGTTTAAAGCTCTTAAAATGTCACTGAGTTGCTCTGCATTTAGCTACTTTCAACTAATGGTTAGCCTTATGCTACTTTAAGCTATTAGCTAGACTTTAGTTACTTTAAGTTTTAAGCTAGCATTTTGCTACTTTGAGCTATTAGTTAGCCTTTTGCTACTTTGAAGTGATTAGCTACTGTAGTCCTTTGCTACATAGAGTTTTAGCTCATCTTTTGCTACTTCAAGCTTTTAGCTAGCCCGTGGCAACTTTTAGTTATTAAACTTTTTCTACATTAAGCTTTTAGCATGTGCTTTAATACTTTTAACTTGTATTTTAATAATTTTAACAAGACTTTTGCTACTTTGAGCTATTAGTTAGCCTTTATCTATTTTAAGCTTTCAGCATGTATTTTAATACTTTGTTTGTCTTTTGATGCTTTTAGCTAGCATTATGCTAATATGAACTATTAGCCTTTTCCTATTTTTAATTATTAGCCAACCTTTTGCCACATTGAGGTTGAGCTTATCTTTGCTACTTTTAGCTATTAGTTAGCCTTATACAGTGGTTCCTTAATTATCGCGTGTGTTTGGGACCACTCCCACCCGTGATAAATGAAAAACCGCGAAGTAGAAAAACAGTAGTCCAAGTTCAGTAAACTTTGTCATGACACGTGCCAGGCTATAATCACATTCATCACCTGTTACTCCCAATCTCCCTCCTTAAATAAACAATTTAAATGTAAATACTGTAACATTTTAAATAAACAATCCCTGCAGCATGGATTGTTTATTTAAAATGTTACAGTATTTTAGTGTGTATGTATGTATAGTGTGTATATATATATATTTTTTTTTATAGAGGCGTTTTAAACCCTGCCCACAGACTTGCAATATTCTAAAGAATATTTCTAAACTCTAAACGATCTAAAAGAGCACAGAATGTCATGATTTTAGCCCTCTGCCTCCTCTCGGCCACACTACGCTCAGCCACCTGTAAGCGTTCTTGGCCACGCCCACTTCCCCGCTCTGCATGGTGAACAGCTGATCAGCTGCAGCAGGAAGCTTATAATAATAATAATAATGTCATCACAATGTCAGCACTGTATGTTTCCATACAATGGCGAAATTAGTCTCTACATTTAACCCATCCACCACCAGGTGGTGCAGTGGGCAGCTATTGAAAGCTCCCGGGGGGCATTTTGGGGATGAGGTGTACTGCCCAGAGACGCCACGTGATGTGCAGTGACTGGGGATCGAACCTGGGACTTTTGGGTTCCAAGCCGGCTGCCCTGCCTCTACACCATCTCGGCCCCCTTATCTTGCTTTTTCTGCAGCTCTGGGCTGCACATAGATGCAGCAGGTGCTAAATAATGAAAAATAATTTATTTTAAATAAAAATTCTATGCCGATCGTGCGGCTCATCCATCAGCCAACTGTGTGCCATGTCCAATCTTATTTTGAAAAACCGCGATAGAGGGAGTCCGCGATAAACAAACAGCGAAGTAGCGAGGGACTACTACTACTTTGAGCTTTTTAGCTTGTTTTTGACTTTTAGCTTTTAGAAAGCATTTTGTCTTTTCACATGTCACACTAACTTTGGTGTTTAAACTTTTGAGGATTTTTTTGTAAACAAACTCTTCTTACTGCCACTAATTTTACTTAAACAGTTTAAAAATCAAACTTTTCAAAGTTTTTGGTCAGTGTTTTTGTTTTCTTTCACTCAGCATGAGACTTTTTGTTTTACAGGACGTTAAGCTGTTTTGAGTTATTTCCAAGCGTTTTATCTAAATATAAATACACTGAATGAAAATCCTTCAGTAGTTTTAACCGTATTTGTTTGGTCGGGTGTTGGAGCTCAGCAACAACCTGTTGAGGAGGTGATGGGTGATGGGTTTGTTAATAACGACTCCTCCTTCCTCCTTCAGGATTTCCTCCAGAGCTCTAAGGCAGTTCACCATCACCACGGGGTCCGGATCCCTGAGCAGGTTGTACAGCTCGTTCACCACCGCCGCATCTGGAAAAGTCACAGAGACGAAACTTTAAGAGCCCGTTCAACTTTGAGACAAATAAATAAACAAAGTCTACATAAAACCTGGTAAACATCTGAACAAAAATAAAATTGTTTGCAGGTTTAATTTGCCAAGTTAAGTTTAGTGTTTGTGCTGCAAAGTAAACAAAGATGCGTGCATCAAAAATAAAATAAATGAAATATTTGGAGTTTAATTTCTTAAAGATTTAATTTCAGCACGTGTCAGTTCAGAGACAGGATGTCTGAGACGCCAAAATAATTCTTCTGCATCCAAGGAGCCAATCAGTACCTCACTTCTGGAATGTTCTGGTTTGTTTTCTTAAGTAAATTCCTGCATTGTTCTCTGGTCTACTCATGCACCTTACATGCACATGAAGTTAAAAACTGAACAAGAGAGGAATAAAAGATAAAGGGAAATAAAACTCCACCTATGTCGGAGCCGGGTTGGAGATTGTGCAGCTTGGCCCAGCCGAGGACAGCCACCCGTCTCACGCAGGCTGCTCTGTCCCTCAGTCCTGCTGTCAGAGGTTGTTCCACGTACTCCACCAGACTGGGCAACCTGTCACGCACAAACACAGCCATCACAAATCCATACCAGGTCCAGCACAAGTCCAGGTCCAGGTGCATCTCTGCTCACCTGAGGTTGGTCATGCTCCTCAGAGCAAGGCTGCGGACCATGGGGTTCGGATCCTGGCAGTCCTTCCTCAGAGTGTTGATGACCAGCAGGGACAGCTCTGGGTTTAAGGTGGCGTAGGAACACAGGAAGATGTACACCAGTTTTTTCTGGACAACATCCACCGTGGCGCACGCCTTCACCATCTCACTGAAGAGGCTGGACACATCCACACCCTGTGACATCGCCCTGAGGTGGAGAGATATTTAGAGACATGTGATAAATGTAGATGTAAAACATGAAATCAAGTCTGCTGCTCTTATTGTATCGTATGGTGGAAATGTGCTAAAATCAGCATAAAGTTAAAACAAGACTAAAAATACGGGCCTGCCTGTGTTTTTGTTCATGTAGACACCAAATAAATGTAATTTTCTTCACGATGAGTCAATCTCCTGAGCAAACTGTGGCCAAATGGATGACATATTTTCAGACAGCGCTGTACTGACGAACTGCTAGTGGAGTAAGTAGAAACACGTATTTTTTCAGAAGCAGCATGCTATGCACATATTCTGCTGTCATACACACGAAGGGTTAAATAAAGCATGTGATGTGGATGACCCTCAACTACTACCACACCAAAAATGCAGCTCAATATCTGTAAATTTCACAGTGCAATTATCATTTTTATGTTTTCTCAGCTTGACTTTCATGAGGGCGGGTGATAAACAGTTGAATTTATTCTGCATTTCATTTGTCTCAATCAGGGAATGACGTCAGAATGCCACAAAAAACAAACAAACAAAAAAAAAACTGTAGGATTTGTTTAGTTTTGCTCAGTGTTGGAATCAGCCTCCCCACCATCACAGACATCTACACCTCCAGATGCAGGAAGAGGGCCACCTGCATCATGAAGGACCCCACCCACCCAGCACACACACTTTTTGCCCCACTCCCCTCAGGAAGGAGGTTGAGGAGCATTAAATGTAGAACCACTAGACTGAGGAACAGCTTCTACCCTGAGGCTGTTAGACTCATGAATCTCTAACTAGAATAATCACTGTGAAAAACCATATCATGTTGCTGCTGATCTGTTTCATGTTGCTGCTGATCTGTTTCATGTTGCTGCTGATCTGTTTCAATGTTGATGTGTTCATGCGTGCACATCTGCTCACAGACTCATGTTCATGTTTGTGCTGATGTTCAATGTTTTATGTTATGAGTGCTTAGTGTATATTTAGTTGATGTTTTTCTTAGTTCATATCTTAGATGTTATTACTGTTTTTCTTATACATTTTATTGTTGGATGTAACTGGGACCCTGTGTACATAATTTCGCTCCACCACATGTACCACATGAGGTGCGAATGACAATAAAGAAACTCTGACTCTGACCAGGCTAACGCTAACCACTATTAGCAGTAACAGCTGATAATGGATTTCTCTGCATCCTGTGCTTTTAAACAAACGGCTGCTGATGCTACTAATAGTGGTTCAGTTGCAAACTGATTAAAGTTAAAATAAAGAGTTTATTACTGAAGCTAGTGAGAGTTTTCATAGGCAAGGCAGCCATTTTGTATTTTGAGGTTGGGGCTGGTTAGGATTCTCCAACTTTCTGAGTTGGAGTCACGACTTGAAGTGACTTTTTCTGACTTTGAACTTCTGGGAACAAAGGGAAACTGCCTGATGAACCCCTCCACCAGTCGATAACATACATAAAACAAAAGATTAGCCGGGAGAAGAAACTGTCAGCTTTGTGATCAGTGGTTACACACATAGCACATCCCACAGGAGGAAACTTGTGCTCGGGGTGCCTTCTGTTTTTAATTATCTTAACTAAAAATAACAAATGCTTTTACATTGCTGATGTGTTTTGCCACTGATCCTGGTTTTAGGTTTGTGTTGTAGCAACTAGAAACAAGACATGTGTGTCTAATCGTGTATGGGGGAGTCAGTGGGGGGGCTAAAGGTGAACGTGAGGCTTCGGTCCTCTGAATATGTATTTACGGCCCTGCAGATCCAGCAGGTGAGCCAAAAAGGGGGAGTTTGAATATGTAACCCACCTGATAACCTTCAGGATGATGTTGCGGTGCCGCAACGGGTCGGACTGGATGTGTGGATTGGACAGAGCTCTCCTCAGCTCTTTCGCTGTCTCCTTGCCGCCCAGGTACGGCATGACGACCGCTGGAAAATAAACTAAATCAAAACTTCAACATCCCAACGTGACCCTTCACACCCTAAAACACTATAAAGACTAAAGCTTAAGAAATATTACAGAAAGAGACCACAAACTGGCGATTTTAATACTGCCAAGATTACAAGGAATGACTGGTTTGTTTACTTTCTAATCACTTCCGTCTTTTTCTTCTTCGTTTGTTTCGATGCTCGATTTAACCCCGCCCCCTGCTGGATGGAAGGGAACAAACTCTGTTGTGATACACCAGCTAGAAAAATACTGAATTACTCTATTAAAAGTTTTATTTTTACATTTTTGTATATTGTTTAAAAACAGGTACAAAACCATTTATTTACCTGGTAAATACGCTGGTATTGTACAACTCCTGTGCAAAAGTTTTAATCAAACAGCACTGTTACATACATACACTGTATACAGTATATGTCAAGTCAATTTTATTGAAATTCTCATCACATGTGGTACATGAGGTGGAACGAAATGATTATACAGTACTATATTCAACCCCCCTCCTATTTTCCTCCCAACCAAACTTGCTGGTCTTTAACAATTTTTCTCAATTACTGAAGCTCATTGACCAGCTGGAATTTTCCTGTTTTCTGGACACAAATTAGTAAGTGCAAAGTATAGTTTAGAAATTTGTCAGAAATTAAAGCGATCCAAACCAGTTAAATTCATGTTTATGTTATTATTTATAGGTTTTCTGTACATTCTGTTTATGGTATGAATTTAAGTTGACCGTTTTTATTTTTTAAGCAAACCTTGAGGCTATTTTAAGTTCCAGCACAAATGTTTACTGTAAATTTGCAAAAATGTCACTTTTTCCTCAGAGGACAGATTTTACTCAGAACATCAGTAAACAAAAATAAATCGCAGACAAGTTTACTTATGAGTTTATGGTCCTCTTATTTTAACATGCTGTTCATTAAGAAAAATGTATTGGTGAAAAGTGAAACAGAAAAAAGGATGTTTTAGTTGGACTAAGGTGAGTTAATAACCTCTTCAACAGATAAATGCTTAAATTTATAAAGCAAAGTTCGCATCACAAAGGGTCTGAAATTATTTATTCCTAATTCATACAGCTTTCATGCAAACTGCTGCCGCTGAATAAAATTAATGCACCAGAAGGTGACACAGATCATCGTTAATTTATAAGTTTTGTAAATTATTCTGGCTCTTAATATTTGAAGTCAAATGTGTTCTTTTTGTTAAAACAAGTAGTTTGAAAATACAAAACTTTTCTACATATTTTCAGACCTGGAATAGAAAACAAAATGTCTTTTTAAAGATTGCAAACGGGAACCTTGTATTTTGGTGGACACTGTGGTGCATATTCAAAGAATATAAAAATTATTTTTGTCTTGATTTTTATAGAAGTTAATTTGCTTAAAGGTCAAAGTTCACACAACGTTTTAACTCCAACAATTAGTCCTGAGCACGTCAGTAGCGGAGTTGTTCTTTGTTTGTTCTCGTTTGAAATAATTCAGCAGAAAATTTATTTGTTAGTAGTTCTTACACTAAAAGCTTGTTTAGGTCTGAACAGATCAGATTTGTAGTTTTCAACATAAAATAAAACACTTGCGCTGCGATCAGTCCGAGTCGATGGTTTTATTGATTGTGAAAAGCAAAAAAAAATCTACAAAAACATGCTTTAAACCTCCAGCACGGTCAGCCCAACCACTGCTCCAGACAAACATCAGCTCCACCTGGCCCCGGTCGGGGTTTAGTACGCAGAGCTTCATTATGAAGGAAAAGTGGGAGGGGCTTAGTGCTGGACAGCCAATCCGCTGCCCCGCTGATCAAAGGAAGCTGCTCAAGCCTTCCAATGAGACGAGGGCAGAGCCAGGCGCTCCACAATGTCAACAAAACATTAAAAAAATTAAATAAGTAAAAAAAAAAAAGATAAAACAGGGCGTGGCCACCCTGGATTCTTGATAACGAAGCTGAAAGGTTTGTTTGTCGACGGTACTTTTGGTCGTCTGAACGGTGCCAGACTACGACAGGCTGCTGCTCAGGTCCAGGTTGGGGGTGCTGTTCTCCTGGTTCGATGCCTGGCTGCCTCGCGGCGGCACCTCGATGATGCGAGGCTTGTCGATGATGCGAGCGCAGCGGTCGCCTTTCTCTACGATTCCAATGATCCATGCGCCGTTGGAGGAGCCTCCTGCCGCCGAGTTGTGACTCTTCATCTCCGAGCAAAACTTAGCCGCCTGCTCCCTCGGAAGACACACCAGCAGTCCACCTGGAGGGACGGAGACGAGCGGGGACAGACGGGTCAACATGTACTAATCACTTACAGTGAAGCAAAAAAAAAAAAAGGCTGTTGAGGTGGAAGAAATGGTCATTTTGTTTATTTTAACAGAAAATATGAATTTTCAAGATTCAAATCCCTCGTTGGAATGAATTTATAATTACAGGTTCTTTAATTGTAGGAAGTGAATTTATTAGTTATCTATTAATACAACGGGGGTTACGTTCCAGACATCCCCGTGATGGGTGACAATCCACAAAATAGGGATGTTATATTTATTTTAGCATTTATACATATTTTAAAGGATTTATAAACCCTTCCGACACTGTTGCAATGTTCTTAAAACTGTTCTAAACTCTCCAACGCTCTAAAAGAGCGCAGTGAAAGAGAGCAGTTACTGAGCCCCGGGGGCGGACTGGCCATCAGGAGCACTGGGATTGGGTCCATGCAAACGATACATTTGAATTTTTTAATTAGAAAACATTTCAAACCGATCAAAGAATTTGGTGCATGCAAACATAGCTGATGCTAGCTGAAGGTTTCTGCACGGCCTCACGAATACTAATCTCCTACCGGAGGTCTCGGACGATCTGCCCTGGAGCAGGCTGAACAGGTTTCCTCCGGCTTTACTGATGGCGCTCATCTTGGCGATGATCGGCAGGTTGTGGATAACGAAGGCCACCTCGTTCTTCTGCTGCGCCGCCAGGTTGTTGGCGTGTCCCAGCAAACCGAAGCCCGTCACGTCTGTCGCGGCGTGAGCCTGGTACTTGTGCATTAGGCGTGCCGCTGCAGAGAACACAGAACCCCGAGCGAGTCGGATCAGACCAACTTTATAACAACTAAGAAAACAGCTTTGATGAATGAAACACAGGGTGGGAAGGTACTCGGCACCTGTTTGGTTTAGCGTGGCCATGGAGAACATGGCCTCGTGGTACGCCTCTTTAACTTCCTCTTTGGTGACGACGAGCTTGATCTTGTTCCACCTTTCAGGCTGACGAGGCAGAAAAATAAAACAAACACGTTAAATCTCAGTTTGACTGAAAAACTAGTCTCTAAATCTAAATCAGTGACTTTAACCAAACTCAGACTGAGCTGAACACAGCACCTCAGACTGAAGAAGTCTTTCGGATGAAAGACGAAATGTTTCTACAATTTTCTTTTTTTTGAATGTCCAGAGGACCAGATTGAACGTTTTTGGATTTTTCTACCTGGATTATCAAAGCCTTCGGTGATTTAAATTACAGGCCTTTAGTCGTTCATAATAATTAAAGAGATAACCTTAATCATAACATTTTGCTAATCTCATGCAATGTTCTGAGATTTCTCAGCCAGTGGGTGTGTTGGGGATGACTCTCAGCTACTACCACACCAAATGTGAGCTCCATGTGTAAAGCTGGCTAATGTGGATTAGCTGTGGCGGCCACCTTGACTTGGACTGACCTCAATAGTTAATCAATTGTACACAAACATCCACCTGTGAGTTTCATTAAAGGTTGTCCAGTGGTTCATGGGATATTTTGCTAACAGAGTCACCCAAAACAAACAAATTCACACAATGACAGACTTCATACGTCTACCCCTGGATTAGATGGAACGTGTTTTGTTAAATTTTCTTGAGCGGATCAGAAGTTCTGAAAAGTTTACAGACTGAGACTTTACCGTAACACGACAATTAGAAAGTAAAAACAGAACAGTGAAAAGGTGAATCATTTAAAAAACAGAGTGGTTTACGTGCGAACAAACAAAAAGAAGCCGGACGACAACACAGCGGGCAGACGGCAGCGCTCCGAGTTACGTTGGAGCTGCGTCACGGACCTGTTCGAGCCACTGGTGAGCGTTCACCGCCACCTGAGTCCCCAGAGGTTTGGTCAGAACCAGGACGTCCCCCGGCACGGCGCCGTCAGGCCTGAAACACCAAAACATAAAACCACGAGTGGAAATGACTCACTGTGACGACAGAAACGAGCAGGAAGCTACGAGAAGAGAAGAAATCAGTCTTTTAAAAACTACTTTGACTTGAGAGGGGACATTTATCCCACAGTGAACATGTTAACTAGCATGTTAGTTTTAACATGCTAGTTAACATGTTAGTTTTAACATGCTAGTTAACATGTTAGTTTTAACATGCTAACTAGCATGTTAGTTAACTAAAGTGTTAACCAATATGTTAGTTAACATGTTAACCAATATGTTAGTTAACATGTTAACTAGCATGTTAGTTAACATGTTAACTAGCATGTTAGTTAACTAAAGTGTTAAACAATATGTTAGTTAACATGTTAACTAGCATGTTAGTTAACTAAAGTGTTAACCAATATGTTAGTTAACTAAAGTGTTAACTAACATGCTAGTTAACATGTTAACTAGCATGTTAGTTAACTAAAGTTTTAACCAATATGTTAGTTAACATGTTAACCAATATGTTAGTTAACATGTTAACTAGCCTGTTAGTTAACTAAAGTGTTAACCAATATGTTAGTTAAGTAAAGTGTTAACCATTATGTTAGTTAAGTAAAGTGTTAACCAATATGTTAGTTAACATGTTAACTAGCATGTTAGTTAACTAAAGTGTTAACCAATATGTTAGTTAAGTAAAGTGTTAACCAATATGTTAGTTAA